ATTTCACTGGCTTTAGCCCTTGTCTTTTTAAGAGTTGCTCAGGGTCAATAGCTAAGTTTGAGAAGCTAAGGAAACTCTCTGGGTTTAGCTTTCTGAGCTGATTTTGAAGTCCTGAGGCAGCTAACGGGTTTTTCTCTATAAGTGCCTGATCCCCACACAACCTCTGAGAAGAATTCCTCATTCTTCTTATGTGGCAAGACTGTATTTTTGCAATGGTCTGTCTGACCTATCACTGAAACAATAGAATAGCATTTAGTTTTCATTTCTGCTATAAAGCAATTCAGTACACTGCTATAGAGGGCAAATAAATTTAGGCTAGATAGCACTTACAAGGAAGAGTAAGTGCATTCAGGCAATGCCTTTATCAGTATATGTCATCTAGTACCATTCTTTTGAGATACATAATCTTTTGTGCAATCTGCCTTGCTTTTATTTTCTATGTAATGACTACTTGGGTGGCTGACCACACTACACAGTAGGACAGCTCATACACTTAGCCTCTGTGACCTGCTCACAGAGGCAGAAGCAGGGACCCATGCACTACCCAAACTTCTATTGCCTGCTTCTTCATTTCAGGGTTAACGCTTGGTCTTCTCATTTGCCTTGCTCAACGCAACTCGTGGTTTCTGAGACAATGAATCTACTGTCATTTTGAATGTACATAGGTACAAAGAAAGGCTACATACCATAAATAGTTCTTAAGCACACACAGAGAACAACTGCTGCACATCTCATTGCTTGCTTCCAGTGAGTCATCTGAGCGAAGCTCCCACGTCTCCCACCACACACTTTACTATCCCAGCCTAACCCAGAATTGCTTGGGTTTCTTAAGTACTTAAGTTATGCGGCCTGAATGCCAGGCATAGACAAGGTTGGCATGAGTTAGCTGGGGGATGTTTCTCCACACCATACTGAATTGTTTTTGCAGCTCAGCTCTGTGGGTGTCTGCTGACGCAGACAATGCCAAGTCCAGAAAGCTACACCTTAGTGGGGCCGAGGTCCACGTACTGCACGGTCTGTGTTCTCCGCAGCACAATATCAAGGCATGAAGCCATCTCGGCTTTGCAGCTGGGAGCATCTGGACTCCTGGGGAAGTGTGCCAAGACCGGAGGGCTCTGCTCCTCCACCAACACTCACAGGCGTTAGAGTGAGGACACTTGACTATAATCTGCTGTTCTGCTGGGAGTTTTATTTGAGGACTTCATTGAGCTCCTCTGCTACTTAAATTCTGTAGGGTCATTCCTCTTTCCAGCTCTCCATAATATTCATTCCAGAAGTAGATTTGGGTTTACTCCTAAAATAACATCACATTTTGAGTTATGATTTTGCTTTATTATTTATTGTGCAATATTTTGTGGTTTTTAACCAGTTGGCTAAGGTACTAGAAGCCCTTGTTTCACCGTAAATCCTGCTCTGCTATCATTTGCCTATTTATCCTACTTTGACACAACTGAAATAGCCATCCAAGCAAACCTCCAGACTTGAGTCCCTCCAGACGAGTGAGTCTTCACTACATGGAAGAGGCTGCTCTGCAAGGACCTCCTTTGTTATTGTCACTTAGGCTTGCTTTAACCTCACACAGCTAAACATGTAAATGTTGCCATAGAGGGTGCTAAACTTTACTAATATAACCCTATGAGTAAAACATGCTTTAGTATCTACAGATGAATATGTACATTTTTTGTACATTGTGTACAAGCACTACTGTACTAATCTAGTCATCTAAATTATTTATTAGATGTTTTTGATATTCTAGGAATCAGGGTTACAGACCAGACCAAGTGTTATGCCAGGAAAATTAATCCATTCCCTTTATTTGGTTGGGCATGAAACTGAAGCATAGAAAGCTAACATCACCCTAGAATCACATGGCAATTGGTTTGTCAGTGCTCTTTGAAAATCATTCTAAGACACTAGACTAAGTCACAGCCAAGGAGGAGAGAGAAAGGAACACTGGCGTTTTTCATGATGCCTACTTACAAGTCCACAAAACTCTCAATGCAGAGCTGGTAATCTTTTGCCCTCATGAAATTTACAGTTAAGTAGGAGGGAGACAGACTATATAAAAATGAAGAAAAAACATGTGATATGATAATTATTGTGAATGAGAGAAAAAAACAAGAACAAAATTTAACAAATTTTGAGGGGTTAATAAAAATACATTTTGTGTACTGTAAAATCTATTCATGAAAGCCATTCATTTATAGTCTTTAGTCATTCTTATAAGATACTCATAACCATTCTTACAACAGAATGAGACAAATAAATTTGAAGAGAAGGCCTATGAATAATTTTAACCCCTAGATTTTCTTACTTTCTAGAATACATTGCATTTACTAGTTTAGTGGCAATGACCATAGTTGTGTGGTTTAAGATTCAACAATGAAAGTCACTTAATTTTTCAAATCACCTAAGTTACATGACCAATAAACACAATAAAAGGCCTGAATTTAAAGACTTGTGATGTCTCTTTTTTTTTT